GAAATAATGATAAATTGTCAATTCTTTTTTTATTTGGAAGATCATCTAATTCTGCGCCAAAAAAAATACTTAGGATTTCTTTTTTTGGCCTTTAAAAGAACCCAAATTATCAATGTTATGAAAATTTATCAAAATAGCCTAAATCGGTGCGATCACTTGACGTGGAGTCGCTCAGTAACATTTCAATTCGTCGTCGATAATGAAGTTAGACCGCCGGTTTTGCACCGTAGGTGGCAGCAGTCATACTCTCTTACTTTAAAAAATTCTCTTTTTGTCTTGTAAGAAAACTGTAGTACTTATTTGGCCTAGAGTTAATTAATTAGTGGTATAATTTATATGTTGTTAATTAATAATAAATAATTTTTTAAATTTATTATTTTTTTAATAATGAATTTTTTGGAAATTATTAAATAATAAATAAAATAAAGTGCAGAAAAAAATTAGTTATTTACTTTATAAAATTTTTAATAAAAATTAATTTTTTACAGGAAATATTGGTTAAAGAAATTAATTATTTTATCAAAAATATTGTTGAAAAAAATAAATTTTTAAAGAAAATATTAAAGAAAAAAATTAATTATTTTACATATCAAACAAGGTGTTCATTTCATGACCATTTAGTCTACTCATCATGATACACTTATATTTAAGATTAAAAGAATGAGTACAACTAAAATAATAATCAATTTTATAATTATTGGTTAAAAGTAAACTTTTATATACATCAATCGATTCAAAAATATTTATGAAAAAAATTACTGTTTTTATCAAAAAATTTATCAAAATTTTTATAAACAATTCTTTATAAAAATTTTTTTCAACAATATTTTTAATAAAATAATTATTTATTTTCTGTACTTTATTTTATATATCATTTAATAATTTTTTCACCAATATTTTCGTAGAAAATTAATTTTTTTAAAAAATATTTTTTATAAAATAATTAATTTTTATCATCAATATTTTATTTAAAAATTAATCTTTTTTCAAACATATTTTGGATAAAATAGTTAATCTTATTAACCAATATGTCCTTTAAAAAATTATTTTTATTAACAATATTTTTAATATATTAATTAATTTTTCTAACCAATATTTTTAATAGAAAAATTCATTCTCATCCAGATTATTTTTTTAAACAATATATCCTTTAAAATTAATTTTTTTAAACATTATTTTAGGCAAAACAATTAATTTTTATTATCAATATTTCTTTTAAAAATTATTGTTTTTTCAAACATAGAGTAGAGTGGGCGAGATCACCATTTGGCTTTTATTTTCGTATTCTATGACTTAGAAATTTGTCGTTTCAGGTAGATGTCATTTATGGCAGTGTGCATATATGCCCTGAGTGGTTTATTTTGCGATTTTGCTTCCTCGTGGAGGAAGCTTTGTAGTCCTTTCGTTTATAAAATTTTTAAAAATGGTGAAAACAAATTTTCTTGTATATAGAAACATGTATCATGTATTGATCAGGATGTGAGTGGCAAACACTGTCGTGTTCAGCGACACCTTGCGTAATTCTTTCGCATAAACAATACTATACATATAATATATATATAGGTGAAGTAAATCTAGTAGTTCATTTGAATTTTCTCTTAAATTGATTTTTAAGGTAAGTATTTTTTATAGTAGATATATATTTTTTTAATTATTATTTAATCATGAACTCTAATGAAATTGAAACTGTTTGGAGAAGTAGGTGCATTAATCCATTCAAAAAGAAAAAACATATCAAAAGAACGGGTTGGTGTCCTGTTTCAGAGAGTTTGCTAGTTAAATTTCTAGATTTATTACCTGAAGGCTCGAAAATTTGTAAAACGTGTCAATTTGAATTTAAAAAGTATTTACGAAAATTCCTCACAGGGTAAAAATTGCAGTTGATGAATTTTGCAATGTCTTATTAAAAAATTAATAACTTTTTTATTTTTAATCAAAACATTTTTTTTATTTTTTTAGTCATTCGTAGAATATAATAACACATATTTTCGTTTTTGTTTCATTAAGAAATTCGTAAAATTGTCTGAGCTGTCGCGAGTTGAAGTCAAAAAAACAATGAAAATTTTCCTTTTTTTTTAAACAGTTTTTCTCTTATATTTCGAAAACGGAAAAAGATGGAAAATTTCTTATTAAGAATAAAAGATGCAAAAAAAGTTAAAGGAAAAAAGATGCACCTTTTAATTTTCTATAAGGTAATATGTGACCTGGACAGTTAAAAGGGACCTTTTGTCCGAAAAAATTAATTTTTTATTGATTGGTGATTCTGATAGAAAAAAGTTTTCTCTATCAGAATCACCAATCAATAAAAAATCGATTTTTTCGGACAAAAGGTCCCTTTTAACTGTCCAGGTCACATATATTTAAAAAATTAAAATTTTGAATTTCAATTTTATTGACATTTTCGTACGCTGACTGGCTTCCGAGCGTCCGGCCCGAGCTCGCGACCGGTTGTTCGATTGGGTGCCTCAATTACGGCGAGTGCATCAATTACGGCGCGTTCACAAAAAATAACTATTATTACTATTATTTTTAATATTCCTGTTGCAAAATGATTAAAAAAATTTATTTTAATCTTTTTTTGATACAATTACTTATAAAGATGCACATTTAAACAATTAATAATTTAATTATTTGAGATTAAATTTTTTCCCTCGCCGTAATTGAAGTTTTTTAATATTTCCATTGGCTCCAATTTCGGCGGGCAAAGTATCTTCAAAATAATAACATAACGTTTAATAAGTTTAACACCTTAGGATCCTAGAAAATTAAAAACTACTGCGCAGCTGTACAGGACATAGAAACTGAGATCGACCAGTGCGCATCATTAAAGTTGGAATTTTTCTATAATATTTTAATGAAATATTTCAGCAAAATTACACGGCAATATTTCTTATAGGCGGACATTTCTCTAATTTCAGCAATTCAACAATGAGTGATTATACTTGTGTGATTTGCATCACACTTGTATAATCACTCACTTTACGCACTTGTATCATAAATAACTATTTTTTAACAATATTTTTGATAAAATAATTAATTTTTTAACCAATATTTCCTATAAAAAAATAATTTTTATCAACAATATTTTTAAGTAAATAATTAATTTTTTCTGCACTTCATTTTATTTATCATTTAATAATTACCAAAAAATTTATTCATTTTGCTTCCTCGTGGAGGAAGCTTTGTAGTCCTTTCGTTTATAAAACTTTTCAAAGTGGCGGAAACAAATTTTTTTCTTTATAGAAACATGTTTTATGAGATCCTGATCAATTGTCCGGATGTATATTTGTGTGTGTGTGTGGATCCCTTTTTTGTTTAGAAGATAACTTTAACAGGTTTCAATGGATTTAAATAAAATTTGGTTGGCTCATTTATCATATTAATATCTCAAATCTGACCAAAGAATTTTGAAAAATACCCCAAAAAAAATTTCATCTTCTTTTTTCAAAAAATTTTTTTTAATCGAAAAAATTTTTAAACAGAAAAATTTAAGGTTATATATAATAAAATCGTATTCCTTACGTCAAGACGAATCGATCGATATATATAAAGTATCCATTTGAGGTAAATTTAAAGAATTAATGAAAGTTAAAAAATCAAAACTTCACATTTTGGCTATAAAATACATATTACGTCAAGACGAATCGATTGATATAATATATAAAGTATACATTTAAGGTAAATTTAAAGAATTAATGAAAGTTAAAAAATCAAAAATTCAAATTTTGGCAATAAAATTTTGCTTTCTCCACGAGGAAGAAAATTTTTTTGCTGATCGTAAAGAGAAAGCAAAATGTTCATGTAATGAACATCTGAATTTACAACTTGTTTCACTTTTTCTTCTGATTTTCTACAATATTTTCACTCAAAGTGAATGATCCGCGAATGTCCCACGAATTCGTGGCTCAGTCCATTTCGTCAATCCGCCAGTGAAACGATCACTCCGAGTCAAGGAAATAAAATAAAAAGAATCCAATCTTTCTTTACGTTTAAACTCAGCTGCAGTTTTTACTAATGTGTCATACGTACGATCTGACACCCAGGCATATAGACACTATCATTTCTGAGGAGGACAGCCGTCTATCTCATGACCCCCCCTGGAGCGACAGCTGGATTCGGCACTGTTTGTCAAAATAAACAAAAAAACGCCAAGTAGGTTTATGTAAAATTAATTAAAGTGGTTTTTCGCATAAAGCCCTCCACCGGTCACTTTAATTTTTCTTGTAAAATAAATCTGCAAAAATGAATATTTAAAATTCGCAATAACATTTGCAGTTACTAAACTTTTCACTTAACTTCATTGAAGCTCACCGTGCAAGATAAAAATGTATAAGCAAGATAAAAAAAATTTCAAATTTGGAAAAAACTTTTTTCAAAATCCTGACATGATACACAATTTTGGAACCAGTAATCGTGTTCAGCACACAAAAATACATTGGAATCCACTATGATATTTGAACAAAAAAACCCTTATAGATCTGTGTTATGGACCCTGCAATCCCCGAGAGACAAGTTTTAACGAAATTTATCAATTTTTTACAAACGCAAACTTCAAACAAAGATATCTCATACAAAAATAAATATTTTTAAAGGTTTTAAATTACAAATTTTTCAGGAATATATGAGCTTACAAATGCATATCACGAAAACTTCAAAAAAAAATTTGTACCATTATAAAAAATCAAAAAGTACCCTAAAATAGGCCCTAAAGTACCCCTTTTTCAAGGTCAAATATCTCGAAAATCTAGAGTGATGGAGCATTCTATGTTTGGATTCGTGTGCAGTGGCAAAAAACCTGTTAGAATTACAATATCCAATCCCAGAAATAAAAAAAAAATTTTAATTCTGTTGCAGTGTTGAAGGTTGTAAATGGTAAAGTATTGTAGTTCAATTTTTTCAAAAGAGATAATATGAATTTGAAACCAAAATTACACGTGTAAGTAGATGCGTAAAAATTTTATAGAAAGATGATAAAGAAATTGATAATTAAAAAGTCTTACCTTAGAGTATTTAAATATTCAAAATATCTTCCAACTCAATAATAAATTATTTTTTATAAACTCACAGGCTATATAAATGAAATTACAAATCATAATTTAACCATGTTATGCAGCTTATACATATTGTATAAAGTAATTAATTTATATCACAAATTCTCATGCAAATAATATTTCATTTCAATTATTTAACTGTTTGTTAAAAGCAATATTGCTTTAATAAATGTGTAATTTTATTTTCAAAATTAATGTTGTTTGATGAAATTGACAAAAATTTTATTCATGTTAAACTTTAACTTGCATGTTGATTTTTAATTAAATGATATTAATTCAGTTGTTAATTCTTTGTATTTAATGACACGCATTTAATTAATGCATTTTGCCTACTTAGATAAGGGTTCACTTTGAATTTCATCGCAACTCAATAGTGACGTTATCACGAACAGGAAATTATAAAATTATATTTACATTCGCTTTGCCTTACAAAGTACATAATGTTGTATGACAGACTCTTTTTAATTTATGATTTAAATGAAGGAGTCAAGAATTTATAAGTTGCTAAGATTACGTAACCGTTATAATAAGTTGACACAGTTGAAATGAATATTTTAGATACTTATTCAATTTTAAAGGAAAAAGTTATTTTAAATTTTATTATTAAATTTTTAAATTACACTAACTGAATTACAAATCTAAAACTACTAATAAATAAACTCGCAAAAACAATTATTTAAAAAATATTTATGAAAATATAATGTGTAGGGAAAGTCCGGGATAGATGGCTATACCTAACTACATGGGGGATCCTAAGTAAAGTGATCAAGGTAAAAAAAATTTTTTCTCTGATCACGCTTAAATTCGGGACATTTGTAGTACTCATAGATTTTATTTTTTCCCACATAGCACAATATTATGTTGTAAGGTTATATTATGGAATAATGGTATCCCAACAAAAACATCTTCGATGCAAAAAGATACGCCAAGCAAAAATTATCTTAACCATTGAAACAATTCGTGAAATGAATGTTAGACGAGTAAATTATAGGATTATGTTAAGTTTTAATTGATTTTTTAAATTTAAATAACTAAATTTAAATATGGAAAATAATAATATTATTATTAAATACTTAAAAATAATTCACGACAAGTTTTCATAACTGCGCGTATGATAGAAATTTTTCTTACAAGGAAGGTACTCGAGGTGTGTATCGCTGATTTGCTTGAACTTGATATATGTTGTGAGGACTAAAAACGAAGCGACACGTATTTTTTTATACGTGCTCATAAGGCGATATAAGGGGTGAAACAACCCCTTCAAGATTGGGGTGATGGGTGTCGATTTTACTAGTTCATATAGAAGGCAATAAATTTTTGGAATAAAACCAATTGAAAAAGTTTCTGAAGTCAGATTTAGAAAATTCAAAATGGCGGATCCAATATGGCAGAAATATTTTTCAAAAATTCAATGGATTTGCTTAAAACTTGTTACTCGGGGGTTTATGGGGTCGCTGATTACGAATCTGCAGTCAGATTTTGAAAATTCAAAATGTCGGATTCAATGTGGGAAACATTTTTTTTAAAAAATCCAATGGATTCGATTAAAACTTGTTACTTGCAGGTTTTTGGGGTTGCTGATTACGAATCTTAAGACAGATTTTGAAAATTCAAAATGGCAGATCCAATATGGCCAACATATTTTTAAAAAATTCAATGGATTCGCTTAAAACTTGTTACTTGGGGGTTTTTAGGGTCGCTGATTACGAATCTGAACTCAAATTTTGAAAATATTAAATCGAATATATGACGATCAAATTATTCTAAAATTGATCTGATTTATGGCTCATTTCATTTAAATTGTCATATTCAGCTTCCAGAAAAGTTGAGTTGAAAAATTTTGATTTTAAGGTTGAAACTAATTTTTTTATACAGTTTAACATGTTAAATTAACAAAATAAATAGTGGTCACAAAATTAAAGTCATATATTTCTTATGGCAGACGGTTTTTTTTGGCAGAAATCGTCATATCTTATAAAAATTTTTTTCTGGCAATTTTTGATAAAATAATAATACTAAATATAATTTGATTTGACTGGTGATAAATATACTGAAGTGTTTGGGGTCACTGAATTCGAATTTGATGACAGATGAACCCAAAAATCTTAAATACGATGAAATCAAATTTTTTTGAAAGCTCTGTTTGAAACCTTATTATGCCTATAAGTGATTTTTAACTGGACTGCGAAGAGGTTAAAAATTATATAGGCAAAATGCAAAATTTATGTCCTTAAACATTATGAACATAAAACAAATAAACATCTATTCATTTCGGCAAAAGAATTAAAATAAAAATTTTTTGGGGGTGGGTTATAACCCCATTTTATGGAAAAAATTAGGGGGGTGGGTTGCGTGTACGGTTCATGTAGTACACGATTTATGCTATAATTTAAAACAATTTTGAAGTTTTTACCACATCAAGTTAAAGAGAAAAATCATATTAAACACCCATAAAAACATGTTTCTTGGGGGTTTTTACCCCCACTTTTTTCAAAATCCTGACATGCTAAGCATTTTTAAGATCCGGGATCGTGTTCAGCGCCCAAAAATACATTAGAAACTATTCTGATATCAAGATAAAAGAAAAAAGTTTTATTTTGTAGGCCTCTGTGATTTATTACGTTTACTGAAGCCATATATACAAAGCATTACACTTATGACCATTACACTGTTGACATTTTGCTCATTTTTTGCTTATAAAATGAAAACGGTTATGCTTATATAGACGGGGTTGGTCTCATTCAAAAGAGAATCCAAAAATACATTAAATTCCATACCGATATAAAATTCAAAATATTTTCTAACCATTTTCAAGGCGTTAGACTGTTGACAGAAATTCAATTACGAAAGTGTTTCGACTTTTTCTGCCTCCATGACAAACGAGCAGATTTATACTTATATCGTTTTCGGTTTTTTCACACACTTCGTTGTTGTGTTTTGCTGCTTATGCGATGGTAAAGAAATTTTTTTGCTCATAAGGTAATTTAAATATCAGGTAAAAGTAGAAAATTCTGCCGTCAAAACGTAAAAATACAAAAGTAAGGGACAAGTCATTTTCATATTCTGGAAATTGTATAAAATAAAGTTTAATTACCTACACTTGATTTTCCTTAAATATAGAACTAATACTTCACGAAATATTTTTTTAAATTGGTTTAAACACTATATTTTCGACATTTCATTCATTTGAACATTGAAAATGTCTCCGAGGACGCATTACACTTATGACATTTTGCCTGCTTTTTGTTCTGCCAATATTATGAAAATCACTTTTATGTCCTTGAAAGTAGAAAAATTATTGAAAATTATTGCTTTTTACTATATAAACAAATTAATTTCAACTAAGGTTATATCAAATAATTTTTTTTGGCAAGGGACATGAATATGACAATTTAAATGAAATGAGCCTTATATAAAATTTTGTTGTTTTATAGCGTCCCTATTCATCTCTTTTTTTTACAGTGTATGAGAACCTTAACCCCAACAGTAAAATCTTAATATTTACTAGAGATTTATAAACAGCCATCTTAAAAACTCCTGAGTTAGAAGTATCACTTTAATTAATTAATTTAATATTTTCAAAACCTGACTTTAGATTCGTAATCAGCGACCCCAAAAAACACCGAGTAACAAAGTTTTAAGCGAATTCATTGAATTTTTTTACAAAATGTCCGCTATATTGGATACATGAATTTGAATTTTTAAAATCTGACTTCAGATTCATAATCAGCGACCTTAAAAACCCCCGAGTAACAAGTTTTAAGCGAACTCATTGAATTTTTTTAAAATATGTCCGCCATATTGGATCCGCTATATTGAATTTTCAAAATCTGATTTCAGGTTCGTAATCAGCTACCTCTATAACCCCCTAGTAACAAGTTTTAAGCAAATATATTGAATTTTTTAAAAATATGTCCGCCATACTGTATCCGCCATTTTAAATTCTCAAAATCTGACTTCAAATTCTTAATAAGCGACCCCAAAAACCCCCGAGTAACAAGTTTTAAGCGAATCCATTAAGTTTTTAAAAATCTGTCTACCATTTTGGATCCGCCATTTTGAATTTTGAAAATTTTTAAAATCTGTCGTGAGATCCATTTTCAGCGACCCCAAAAACATAAGAGTGACCTGTTCTCCAACTAATAGCAATGATTTTTTCAAGATAATTAATACATTTGTTTGCTGAGTCATTAAAAAATTTGAAAAAGTTGTCACAGTAAGACGCGGTTGTCAGGAAGCCTGAAAGTTCCGACCAAAAATGACGAGCAAATCGGCAAACGGGGATGTTTTAAGGTTAGTTTGGACATTACAAATCCGTTTGAATTGAAATCATAGCTGATCGTTTAAGCGAGATATCATGAAATCAATCCCAAAGGTTGAATTTTAGACTTTAATATTTTATAAAATGCAACTTAATATAATATAATATATTAATATATATTAATATATATAATATATATATATATAATATATATATATATAATATATATATATATATTAATAATATATATAATATAATATTATATTATAAATATTTACGAAAATTGACTATATTTTATAAAAGTAATTGTTTTTTAAATTTATATCTTTCTCTATTGTATTATATTATTCTTTTATTGTACATCTGGCAATTAATTTTGAATTTCAAAATGCATTATTTATTCAAAAGTAAGTACTCTTACAAGATTTATCAGATTATGGATATTGATATTTTTTAAGTCCATTAAGTCCGATTTTTCGCTTTCTAAAGGCTTCCACTATTTTTTGTCATTCGAGTAATTTGAGGTTTTGTTTTCCGTGCGGCTTCTCTAAGACTTTCCCGACGCTCTAAGTAAGTTTTGGATTTTCAATTAAAATTCTTTCAAAAATATTCTTAAAAATGGCTATTTTTTCGTCCTTCTGGTATCATACTACCAACTTTTTTTTAAATTCGTTAGCTTGCTCCAAATTGTGAATATAAAAACTTCTGAATTAACACACAGAAAAAACAAGTGAGTAAATTTTGTTGCAGGTTAATTATCCTTTTTACCTTCTTCACATGGGTAAAATTTTCATTCAGAGTCTTGAAACGATCTTAACCTTTAAATTTGGGGTGGGGGGAGGGGAAAAGGAGGGGGTGGGGGTTGGCGCGCGAAGCGCGCAGGGGGCATAGCCCCCTAGTATAATATATACTATATACTATATTATATTATTATATTATATTATTATATTATATAATAAAATGTTATATTACTATAATATTGTAATAGTTTCTTTGGAAGGTAAATTTAGTTAAGATTGAATAATAAACTTATGGCTTATCATTGTATGGCCTATCATTGTATTCAAAAATTGTAAACCGTTATAAACAAATAGTATATGTTTTGCTTTTAACTGATATATAACTCAGAGAGCACTCTAACTTGTAACCTTACGTGGCAAGGTTGCAACCTTCCAAAGTTGCAATTGAAACGTAGCACAAGTTTGCAATGTAAGCTTAAAATAAGTTGAAAAAAAGTTATTTATTTATTATTATTTATTTTATTTTTATTTTATTTATTTTATTTATTTTATTTATTTTATTTATTTTATTTATTTTATTTATTTTATTTATTTTATTTATTTTATTTATTTTATTTATTTTATTTATTTTATTTATTTTATTTATTTTATTTATTTTATTTATTTTATTTATTTTATTTATTTTATTTATTTTATTTATTTTATTTATTTCATTTTATTTATTTTATTTATTTATTTTATTTATTTTATTTATTTTATTTATTTTATTTATTTTATTTATTTTATTTATTTTATTTATTTTATTTATTTTATTTATTTTATTTATTTTATTTATTTTATTTATTTTATTTATTTTATTTATTTTATTTATTTTATTTATTTTATTTATTTTATTTATTTTATTTATTTTATTTATTTCATTTTATTTATTTTATTTATTTTATTTATTTTATTTATTTTATTTATTTTATTTATTTTATTTATTTTATTTCATTTTATTTATTTTATTTATTTTATTTATTTTATTTATTTTATTTATTTTATTTATTTTATTTATTTTATTTATTTTATTTATTTTATTTATTTTATTTATTTTATTTATTTTATTTATTTTATTTATTTTATTTATTTTATTTATTTTATTTATTTATTTATTTATTTACAAAAAGTTTCAAAAAATTCATTACAAAATTTTTCATTTTTATTTTTAAAATTAATATTAATCCAAATATAATAAAATCGAAATTGTTCTTTCTATGGCTTAACATGTATAAAATATGCTGTAATATATTATTCTTTATTTACTTTCCCTACAAACGGTAGGGTTCGAGACACCTAATTACATTTCACTAACTTAATTCTACGTACAATATTTCTTAAACTATTCTTACATCCTAACGCAAAATAACAATAAAAAACTAAAATCCGCCAAGAGCCCGGGCTTCCGTTTCCCGTTCCAGTACTATGATGCCCATTCTGGCTTCGTCAGACTTAACGCTACACTAAAATACGATAAATAAGATGTTCCCAGACAAAAAGTTTTGTGCTCTATCAATTTACTAGAGGCCTTCCTCCATCTTCCCTCCCTCTTAGCTTTTCCAACTCTTTCATCCACCTTTCTCCCTGCCCATTCTCACACAAAATCCAACACACCATCTCATCCACACTTTTTTCTTCCATCTCCCCTTTCGTACACCTCTCTAACACATGACTCCACTCTTCCTTTTCAAAACCACATACGCTACACAACTTCTCATCCTCACTCATCCAGTACCTACACTCTTTCCTCCCTTCTCCCATTCTAAATCTTAACACCCTGTTCCATTCACACCCTCTCCTTGCCCTCCTCAAATATTTTGGCTCCTCTCGACCTCTTACCATCTTATACCACCTGTTGTACCGTGACCCTACTATCTTCGCCCACCTTTCCTCCCTATCTCTTACTGACCATCCTTCCATTTTATTATCTTCCCTATTTCCTCCAGTCTTCCCATCTCTTAGAGCTTGTCTCCTTCCTTTCTCCCAACTGCTCATACTCCTCACCCCCACTCCCTCTCCTTGTTTTATCATCCTCCAACATGTCTGTGCCAAACTACTCCCCTTTCCTTCGCTTAATTTTTTCTCCAGTCCCCACGCACGCTTTCTCTGCCTGACAACTAATTTTTCCCTCTCTAACTCCTCCCTCAGCATGTATCCTGGGCAACTCTTACTCACTCCCATTGTCCATCTAAGGTACCTCTCGTGCATTCTTTCAACTCTCAAAACCTCTTTCCAACCCCACACTTCCACACCATAACTCAGCACCGACCACACCAAAACATCAAACAGCCATACTCTCTTTCTCCAGTCATTCCCAAATCTCCTTTTTCCTATACCCCAGACCTGTCCCATTACCCTGCTCGCTCTCTCTATTCTCCTGCTAATGTTTAAATCATGCCTTCCATTATATTTAAACCAGTATCCTAAATAACAAAATTCATTCACCTCTTCCATTCTTACACCATTCAACATCCATACTTCCTCACCACCTCTTCTTTTGTTCCTAAATCTCATCACCTTCGTTTTCGCTACATTCACACTTAAATCTTTCTCTCTCACATAAAAAACCAAACTTTCAATTTTTATCAGTCCTTATAAATCAATTTGAAAAATAAAATGTCTAATTTAAAGTGAACAACATTTTTGACTTTTAAAGAATGTAAATATGAAATTGAATACCGGAAGGAAACGATACAAATTTCTGTATTGCCTCGACTTTTGAAACAATTTTGGCAAATTAATGAGCAGGTGAACACATTTGCCATTTTTGGTGACATCTTTAGGAAGTGTAATTTTGAGTGCTTTCAATATATTTGGAACTGCTTGAATCCAGTTGCCTTTGATGATTGGAACAGGTAAATCCACAAGTTTGGAAAGTTCCATCAGCAACTAAATAAAAAATTATAATGTATTGATTATTTTTTTTTGGAAATTTTAATCTTATTTTTAAATTTTTATTTAATTCAACAAGTTAAATTTAATATTCGAATTGAACTTATATGCTTTAGTTTTTAGCAAAAATAAAATAAATTAACTTCAAATATGTTGCAGTGTGTTATCTTATATTTTATTTTAAAATATTTTTTGAATATGATTTAGTAAAATGTACCAAATCAGGATTTCTCAAAGCCGGATACATTTTTAATACAGCGGACGCCGACATTTTATTAATATTTTTTTGGCGTAAATATCGTGTCTTGTCTAGGAGCGCTTCGAGTTTTCTCACATTGACAGATCGTTCAGTCGTTGATGCCACTTTTACCATCTCATTACATAACATATCATGATCTGAATGATCCTCTGTTTCTCTCTTTTTAGTTTTTTTATATGTTGCATGCTGTACTTCATTTTCTCTTTGAGCATCATCTTAATAGTGGGATTTCAAAAGGATAAATATTAGGAACAAAAAGAAAAGGATGTATATGAAACATTTCACGCCAAACCAACATATCAAAATTGACACTTTTAAATTGGCCCAAATTTGTTCACTTTGTTTTACTCCACGAAAAAGAGCTTCATTAATTTCTTTAAATTTTTTTATCCAGTCGTTTACGAGAATTATGAATTTTTCAAAATTTACGATTTTTAAGAAAACAATTTTTTTAATTGCTCATAATGAAGAAATTTATTTTCTTAATAGTGGTTTAAACATTTTTGGCATCTTTTGAGAAAATTAATAAGTTTTATCAAAAATATCATAATGTTACACAAAAAATTTATTTTCACGAGATCTCCAATCTTTGTTTGAAGAATTTTTAAAAAATTTCATATTTTATTAGATAAAAGCAAAAAACCTTAGAATTGTGGTATATTTCATAGTTCTCGCCATAAAAATCAAGTTTTCGGTCATTGTATGACTATGATTTTCATAATCAGGGCATAAAAATACGTAAGTATGCATAGTAAAATCATTTACCTAAAACGGTTAAATTTAAAGGCTTAAGGGGTTAGGGGTAGTCAGAGGCACGAAAAAATGAGAATTTTCAGTATTTTTTTTGCTATTAAATAATTTTATTTTACAAAAGTAGTAATATGGTATTATTAAACAATGTTTTGACTTGAAGTCACGAAAATTTAAAAAAAAAAAATTTTTATTTCCGAAGTTACAGCTGTTTGTGTTAACCCAGTTCCAAAAAAAGGTCCTTGCGGTGACAATCATAAGTCCTTGGAGATTAATCAGAAATCAATCGGATAAAAAAAATTAGTTTTATAAATAAATAATCCTGGGCCTGATCGAAGGATTTTTTTTTTTCAAAAATTAACAAAATGGCGGCCTCAGGAAATTTTTGTCTAGATTTTTGGGAAAAAATCAACAGTTAATTGGTCTTAAAAAATCGAAATTTTTCAAAAAAAAAAAAATCCTTCGATCAGGCCCGAGTTTATTATGTATTCTAAAAGCTGTATAAATTTCATTAAAATCGACTGAGCGGTTTTCGAGTTATAGTTGTCACCAGTTCAAAAAACATAGTTTTGAGAAAAACGCGTTTAGTTTCACACTAGATTTACGTACAAAAAAACGAATTATTAAATTACTTACACCGAGTCATCTATTCCTGGGCCATATTAATTTAGGTACTACTACATATACCCAAGTCTAAGTTCATCGATGACAATAGAACCCTAAAAGCCGATTTCTTGCAGCTGACACTAGCTGCAAGCGCTCCCGAGCGCTTTAAAAGGCCCGAGCTCTCTTTGTTATTTGTCGAATAACTTAAAAACGAATTATCGGATTAACTTGAAATTTTCAGAGATTATTTTTAAGATATTTTACTTAACGAAAATGCAAAAAAAAAAATTTGATATTTTGAAAATTCTGACTACCCCTAACCCCTTAAAATATGCGTAAAAATAAGGAGTTTTGTTTACAAATTATTTTAAAAAATTCGAAGGATACAAACAACTTTCAAAATAAGATTTTAAAATATAAATTATAAATTGATCCATTTCTGTAGAAGTTATGAGCAATAAAAAAAATGTTTTTCTTAAAAATTGTAAATATTTAAAAATTTATATCTCAAATGACTAGATAAAATTTTTTTTAAAAATCATGGAGCACTTTTTCGTGAAGTACAAAAAGGTAAAAAAATTAGAAACAATTTAAAAATGTTAATTTTGATGTTTTTTGGGGTCGAATACCTCATATTATTTGTGTGTATATTGACAGGTGTTACAAAAATTGACACAGTTTATTTTCGAGGCAAATATTCACACATTTATACGAATAAAATTACATTTCCCTTATTCATTACGAAAAAAACTGTTAAACTTGTCAAAGTGAAAAAAAAATTTTTTGAATTATTCGGAGTGAATATAAAAATCTACATTTTTGTTTCAACTATGAAATGATTTCGAATCTTAATGAAAAAAATAATTCGCTATAAAATCTGTCGATTTTAAGACAATTACTTTTATTTCTAGTCTTAGTTTAATTAATTAGATGGATATTTTATAACCTCTTTGTAAAATTTTAAAAAATGTTAAATAAAATCTTGTTTTACTTTCTTTAATGTAAACCTCATAAGGGTAACGGCTGTTACCGAAACGTCGTTTTATTAATTAAAAATAATAAAATATTAATTGTGGTGATGGGAAAAATGGCCTAAAAATTATTTATATTAGTTAAATTAATCCGAAAGAAAATAAGTTAACATAATTTATCATTTTTTAAATGTATACATTTTTTAATTAGAAAATTTACAAAAAAGTTGAAAATTTTAAAATTTGCCCTGACCATTTTTTCGCGCCTGTAATATCAAAAAATTATTTTTTCTAAAACTATAATCGGGTTATATTCCTTACAACACCTGTCGAACATATGATAATAAAATGGACTAAAGAAATATAGGAATAGGTAAATGAGTAAATGAATGTGCAGCTTGATAAATTGACAGATAGATAAGGAGATCTGGAAGTGAGTGGGTGCGTAAAAATTCTGTATAATTATAGTTCCAGTGTACTTACATGTTTACTTTGAAAACGTCCGTTCAATGTGGGGTACTTTTCCGTCAATAAGACGGCCATTCTGTCGAGCTCATGATCCTCTGTAATTCCCTTTTCGAACATTCTTAAACACACTGCTCTGGAAATTGTACTTATTTCGGTACTCTGCAGTTCAACTCCATTCTTTAACAATCTGTCAATACCATGTGCAAACGATTCAGGTATCAATGACTTCAAATCAATCTAAAAATACAATCATTACAAAATTTTTTACAATTTATTTAGATACAATTTTAATAAGCTTGAATTCAAAAATTTATAAATTCCATAAAGTAAGAAATACAAAATGTTATAAAGAAAAATGGTCACTTATTCAATATTGCAAACGTTAAAAATAAACAAAAAATGAAGAAACTTAATAGCTAAATAATTCTGTATAAAATTTATTAGAACTTAATTTTATTTTTTATATCATAAATTGCATTATTGGACATTTCAATTAAATGAATTATCAATCGAAGAACAAATCTGTCAGAAACGTTGCGAAGAAAATTTCCCCTTATATTTATTTTACTTTTTCCTGACACAAAAAAATTTACCTGACCCAATTTTTATTACGGATAACTAATTTAACAAAAATGTATTGTTATGCAGTGAAAAAAACACATTTCTAAATTTATTTTATTGATATTATACTTTGTAAAATTGTTGTAAAATTTATTTTTAATTTTAATAATTTTTTTGTTCTAGAAAAAATGTATCTGACCGATTTATTTCAAAATTGTATTTTTTTCACATAAATTGAAAAAAAATATCAAAAACTAAATTGGAATTGATTTTCAATGTGTTTTAATAAAACTTCACGATTTTGTGGACAAAAAAGTTTGTTCACCTCCTTCCAAGCACAGAGGTTTTAATGAATAAAAGAATAAATTTTAATAAAATCGATTTAAATAATTTTTTTCAAAAGTTGAAATTTTTAAAAAAAGCGGTCTACACCTTTTAATTTTATATTTTTCAACTAAACGGCCTAGAATTTGGTATTATGGTGTATATTTACGAGTTATTTTTGATAACCCAATTAAAATTTTTGATAAACAAAAAGAATGCAGTTTGATATTCTGGTAGATGTTATTGAGATATTTCTGATAAAGTTATAGCAACGCTAATTAAAAGTCATTTAAAAAATTTTTTTTAATTAAGATTTTTGAAATATTTTTTTAACTTTACAGTTTTGCCCACAACAGATGCATTTTGTTATTTTAGTAGATTGTTGCGACTTATTTTTCATTAAATAATAGTATCCTTAATTTTAAATTAAGGATACTATTATTTAAATTTTGTTCAAAAAATTTTGGTGCGCGTTATCTTTTTGATTTCATTCAATTTAAAAAATCTTCCGGACCCTGAGATTTTTATGTCTTTCCTGACTTGTGGCAACCCGGTGAGACTAAAATTCAAAATAAAATAAATTTGAGAAATTGCAAATTTGATCTAATAAGAGTTCAGCCAGATGAAAGTTAAGTCAATTAAGTGAATTAATAAATCCTGTGAGATTTGTACTTGGTATTTTGTAAATTATATTCAATAACAATTTAATCAAATATGAAAATTTTATCAAATAAAAATTGGGTCAAACGCAAATGCCGTCGAATAATTTTATTAGGTATATAAAAATCCCGTCTATTAAAAATTTAAACAATTCCAAAAATTAATATATGTTAAGTCATTCAAATAAAATTTATAGAATATACATATATAATTTGTTAAATTTTAAAAACAGACACGACTATGTGTTTTCAATCTCGAACTACCAGAAATAATTTAATTAAGACAATACTCACTGGCAAATTTTGTCGTGATTTTTGTGGCAGCAATGGTTTTTTAGACCCAGTTGTTTGTTTGACGTTTTCGTTTATGGTGGAAGTTGAAGGCGGTTCTTGTGACAGCAATGGTTTTTTAGACCTAGTTGTTGTTTGTTTGACGTTTTCGTTGCTTTTGGAAGGTAAAGGCGAATCTTGAACTTCTGCCGTTAGATTCATGTGCTTCGCTGGAGTATGTTCACAATAACTGCAGGTGCTTAATGGATGCGATGGCAGCCACTCGAATTCATAGCAATCACAATCTTCACACCTGCCTCTTTTTACTCCTCTCGAATCGTAATTTTTCTTCACCGTCTCTGCTTTTTCCATCGTAATTGTTTATACCTAAAAATGTAATTAATAATTAAAAACCAAGAAATTTACAGGCCAATGAATTCTTTATTTTTCTCATCAGATCTCATCAGAAAAGATTTCCTATAAAAATCTAGTAATTTAAAGCAAATATTAATTAATAGAATTAATCATTTTTAATGCAATGAAATATTTAAAAATTACCTTCCTATTCATTTTAATGTTTTGTTTTGTACTCATTTAATATAAAGGACCTAGGGCTTTTTTCATTATAATGAAGGTCTGTTCTCCTCGTCGGTGTGCATGAAATGCTTCGTATGAAAAAAGATCTTCGAATGAATGATTTTCAAAATCATTTAACATCTCTATTTCGTAGGCCATTACCGCTAAATTGAGTTCCAAAGTTTTTACTTTTTGACAAACAAAAATCGGTTCCTCATTTTGCCATATAATGCTTTGCACTGCTCTGAACTGTAGTAAATTTTCCGTATAGGAGACTGCAATGAAGCACTTTGATGCAGTGTATTGAACACCATTTATTTTTACCCAACTTGTTGTCGTAAGGAAATCTTCCTGAGGAAATAATCTTCTGAATGGTTGTCTTAGCAAATCAGTTTGCTTCAAAGGTCCTGTTTGTACTTCATTTTCAATAGGATCAGTCAGTATTGCGCTTTGATTTAACTGATGTTGTCGGTGAGCAAGAAACAATGCTAAATTTTTGAAAGTTCTATAGTCTTGCGATATTCTTTTAAAGAACTGCTGCTTGCCTTCCATTCTATTTGTCTTAAACTCATTTAGTGGTCCATGTTTGGCAATCTCTCTACAACGATGTTGCAAAAAATGTTGTTTAGGAGTAAGTGTATCATTATAGGTGATTTGAAAAGTTTCCAAATATTCCGCAATTATTAAATCCAAATATCCTAAAGATGAAGTTGGAATTTTGTCGGCATGCGAAATTAGAATAATTTCAAGAATCAATAGGTAATTTCTCATCGGTAACCATTCCATTTGAACTAAATCCATCACAATCAGCGGAAGCATGAACGTTAACTGCATCATCTGCGCAGCCGTTTGCTTAAATCCTGCACTTTTATCTAATAATTGTTCTCGAGTAATTTTTGATGGTTTTGCTGATTTTTCGGAGTAACCATAATCAAAATCTCTAATTCGATTATTTAACTCATCAACAGGAATCAATTCTAAATTTATGCACAGTTCTCTCAAAAATGCACGAATCGTCACAATGCAAATTCCTAAGGGATCATCGTGAGTAACATCTGGCGGACAGGATTCTGTGTATTCAAAACCGTTCAATTCATTAAGTATACATCTTTCTTTTATCCCGTACCGTGTCTTTAGTTCTTCCCTAGTTTCTTCATCAGGAGCATTTTCGATCTCATTGATTTGACGTTCGTGTTCTTCAGGTGTACGAATTAATTCTTCAACTTCTTTAGTCATAGTTCTGACTTGATGTCTGTTTGCCATATAATATGAACTGATTAGTTGCTGAGCTGTAATTTTGAAATTCAGCACCTAGTTGGATTCTTCGAGGCAGCACTAACCCAAAATGTTTTTTGAAATATTTATTTTGATTGTATATACTGTTAAGATTGTGGAGGGTATCAATGTTTTAAATAGCTTCATCAATATTTATGTAATCATTTAAGTCCAATTGTATTGATTCTTGAAGAATTGTAGAAACGTGATTCAAATAATATTCGACATAAGTAGCAATTAATTCCTGAACACTGCTTACAATTCCAGTAACATCATTGTTGGTAGCTCTTGTACAACCTCTTAAGTACAATATATATTTAGCAAGAGCATACTTCAAGGGATTTCTTGCCAAACCATCGTCATCATCATCATCATGAGGACCTGGATTCGGATCATTATCAGGATCGTTATCGCCATCATCGTCATCGCCATAGCCATCATCGTCATCACCACTGTAATCATCATCAACACCATCATCGTCAGAAGGATCTGGAACCGGATCAATGTCGGGATTATGAATGGACTCATAAGACGGATTATGATCATTATTGTTGCGCTGTGGGATCGAATCATCGTCAAGATCATTATCATCGCTGGAATTTGAAATCGGATGACTGTCAGGATTATCGCTGGGCTCAGAAGGAGGATCATCACCATTATCATTGTGCTGGGCAATCGAAATATTGTCGACACCGCCATAATTATCAATCGATTCAGAAAATGGAACATCGTCATTATTTGACTCAGAAATTACATCATTATCAGGATTAACATCACCATTGTCAATGAACTCGGGAATTGAATTATCATTCTCATTATTCACCTCAAACTCACGATTTATACCGCTATTATTAACCTCAACATTTGGAACATTAATACTGCAAGGATAACGAGGCAAGAGTGCTGTATGCTTTCGGCTGATGTGTGACCTAAGTGAACTCGGATTTTTGTAAACCGCCGTACAACCTCTGTATCTGCATTGAAGATCAGGTTGACTGGTGTGCATTTGAACCAAATGTTCAATTAAAAGTCTCATATCAGAAAAAATTATTTGGCAAAATTGACATGCAATATTATTCTCTTGCGCTTCATTTTCCATGATGATATATATTTCAGCTGAAATTAAAATTTTGTTCGAAAATGATTTGTGTACATTTTTGTGCTTTTCATGTCCTACTATAATTATAATTTGTATTATATTAAAATAAAATGATTCACATATGACAATATAACGATTATCAATTTTTAGCATGTAGTATTCAAATTTCCGCACACGAAGTGTACGTACGGAACCCTATTGTTTTTACTGCGCTGTCCATCTATCCAATTGTAAAAAAATTCCGACCGATTTATTTCAAATTTGGTAAGGACACGTATTTTTTTACACAGATTCTAAAAAAAATGTACAAAACATGATTGAAATTGATTTTGAAGGAGTTTGCAATGAAAATATATGATTTGATATTTTAGAGTATTTTTGCGAATTGTTTTAAATAAAATTATAGCAACCCGGATTAAAATTTGGAAAATTTTCTTAACACTTCCTAAATGAAATATTCTCATCGTTATAAGGATTCAAAGTTAAAAGTGCAAAAACACGAGAAAACGAGTTTAAAGTTCGAGGTTATCATTAACTCCCTTGCTATAATAAAAAATTTAAAATAAAATTCTTACGTGTTTATAATTTCTACAAAATTATTATAAACACATGATTCAACGCGGAACACGCTATACAGATTGTTTTCGATAAATACAAAAAAAAATTAAAATTCGAAACATTTTTAAAAATTGCAATTATCTCCTAAAATAAAACAGACAAAGTGGTCCCTTTTCATGTGGTCCCAAATATTTTTTCTACAAACCAGACGTTTTAAACACAAATGTGTTTGTCTGTTTTGTTTGTGGAACTCGATAGGTGTGGGTGCGAGTGTAATTCGCACTTTTCTGATTTTTTCGCTTTAAATATACATGATTATATCAGTCATGTGTAATTTTATTGGTAAAGTAGTGGTTTTTATATCTATACATTAAAAAGCGGTCAATAAAATCAGTAAAAATTTTTTTCCTGGAATAATTCACTGAGAAGAAACTATGATTGAAATAATTAATTTTTACACCCTGACAATTCAATGAGTATAAAAACTAATTGAAAAATAAAAACAAGAAATACGTTTTACATATTTTAAGTATTTTTAATTAATAAAACACCTATATAAATTCATGTAAATCGTCAGACAAATTTTTATAAAGTATCTGAATGAATATTTTTACACTTCATACTTTTACTGTAAACATAGGCATATAATGAATATTTTGAAAAATTAAATTTATTGACTTATATATACTTACAAAAATATTCAACAGCCAGAAACAACCCAGATAACAAAGGTCTCCGGCCCGCCCGGCACGCTGCGGCCGAGACACCGAGTGTAAGCTGTGACACTGCGATTTAACTAGCACTTGCTGGCGCACTTGTTGTAGATCAAGCGGGCTAGCAATGGGCTAGAGAATTCGCTTACACATTATCTAGACCGTGAGCTCGCTGAGAGCCAGCAAATGGCTAGATTTTATTAATCCCAATTTATTAATTAAATTATATGTACTTACAAATAAAATAAATATATAATAGGAAATAAAGTTAAAATAATAAAATTTCAATGTTCACATAAAAATGCATTAGTCAAAGAAATGTTTTGTATTTGTTCTAGAATTTTTATTATAAAAGAATTTTTTTCGTTATGAAACATACTATACAAAAATAATTATTGTTTAAAAAATTTTTTGCTTTTAATAATTTTTCAAATTGATTATTTATAAAATGTTAATATAAAATTATATTCCTTATGTCCCATCAAAAATTAAAAATTTGTTTTATATTTCACGTACATTTTTAAGTAGAAAACACCCAAGAAAAAATCTCACTGAATAAGAAATAGATTAATTATTAACAATAATTATTTATCTTTAAAATTTTATAATTATTATTAATATTAATAAGTACGCAAATTAGAGGTTTAAGGTTAAACGCTATAATTATGCACAATTTTAAAAAATAAAATTAATTATTATTTTATATTCAAATGTTATTGTATATAATTAAATAATTAATATTGCTATTAAATTTCTTTCTTATATTCAGTGGAATTTTTTTTCTCAACGGTTTTATACTTAGAAATGTATGTGAAATATAAAACATTTTTTAAATTTTTGATTGGACATAAAAAACAAATTTTTTTAGTAACATTTTATGAATATAATTTCAAAAATTATTAGAAATAAAAAAATGTTAAAACAAATATTATTTTTGTAAAGTACGTTTTAAGACCAAGAAATTTTTTTTGATTTTCAAATTGATCAACTGGGTTTTGAAATTTTTTTTATTTACGACTGCTAAAAAATTTAAATTGTTATAATAACTTTAATAAAAAAAAATTTTGGTTCAAAAATTTCAGAAATTTATTCTAATCGCAATAGGATTAAAAAAAGATTTGACGTTGATAATTAAAGTATTTTTTTAGGTTATATCCATATTTGAGAAATTTTGATCCAAGAAATATAAAAATTGAAATCAATATATATATATACATAAACATTTTATAAAAATTAAATTGGTAATCGTTCTCAGTTTACCGAATGTATTGTGCGTTAACCTTAGGAAGTGTGAATTGGAAAATATTGTGTGCTGACCCCAGATAACAAAATGCCTGCATAATTGCAGGCCGTGTGCCGGACCTCAGTCCGATTGATCGGACCAACGTGCCGGCACATAAGCAGCACAATGTACGCGCCATTGCTGGCGATATCGCCCGCCCGCGGTCCGATCCATTAAAGTACAGAAAATGTTTTTTACTAAAATAAAAATTGAAACTGCGTCTATGTAGATACGTTTAATGATTATTTAAACAATTTCAGTAAAAAAATTACACGTGCTGATTAACATTTTGAAAATGTGCTCTGGTAACTTTTTTTATCAGATAATCAACCATCTCATTAATTAAATAGCTAAAAAAATAGTGTTCAAAAATATTTCGTTAGTAAAAAATGAGCTGTTTTCGGAATTTAATCACGGAAATGCATATATTTAATTCAGTATGATTACTTACAATACTTAACTTAAAGTTAAATTATCTCACGCACGCAAGGGGAATCGAAACCGCGACCTAACGCAAACTAAACCTAATGCCTAACCAACTGATCTATCAACGCACTTGCTTTTATTTACAAGAATTCTGTCCTAAAAATGAACTATAAAATACTTTTATTTAAAATTATTGTTTTTCAAAATTTCATTTATTCAAATATTCTTCTTAGAATTAATTATTTTTATTATAAATAGATCAAACATTTTGAATATTATTATATAGATTGTAATAATTTTCAAGATATTCTATGATTATTTTTTGTGTTATTAAGAATATTCGTATAATCGCATGATTGTTAAATGCAATATATATTATATTCATTAAAATAATAAATTTTTCACTAATGATTAATTATATTTACGAATTCATCAAACTTAAGTAGCAAACAAGTTACAAAAGAAATTCTAAAATTATTCTTGTAAATTATATCGATGGCCGCTAAATGAAAACACGTTTTTCGCGAGTGCAGATAGAAAACACTTTATTAAGAAAAACAAATAGAAAACATCTTATTCAAAATGACAGTTGTTTGAAGGCTATGTTACAATTTTAATTAATGGTTATTTTTAAAGTATGAATGATACATTAAAATTTAAATTAATTTAAACGTTTACATTGTGTCAAACTAACATTGTATCCTTAAATTATTTTATTTAGACATTTGATATTGGCTTAAAATAAAAACATAGAAAAGTTAAGAAAATTAGGTTACAAAATTTTCAGATGAGTTTTCTATTTTTTTTTTGTAAATAAGGGTGTTTTTTGTTTGCTCTCGCGAATAACGTGTTTTCATTTAGGAGCCATCGATATAAATTCTCA